CATTTTTTTTCTTATTTCTTTATTTAATAATAGATAAATCAGAAATTTTCTATTTATTTTTCTGATTTAAAGGGGTATTCAGATTTAACCGTCATTAATTTAAGGATATAATTCTGATTCCCTATCATTCTTGACTGGTTTTCTGTTCGTAATTTAAATTTATGAGAAAGCGAATGAATGTAATATCGATATTCAAATATTCAATTAGTTATATCGTGCTTTAGCAATATGAAAAAAAATATGATTTACTAAGTATAAAATAAATATATTTTTGAATAAATTTAATTGCCTACCAATTAAAAGACCTCTTGAAGATTTTCGATCTATAAATTGAATAAAATAAAATTTACATAATAATAATTTTTTTCTTTGAATTATATAATTTGAAATTCAATATAATTGTTAAAATGTATCTCTGAAATTTTTAAAAGAATATCTATTTCCTTTATTTTTTAAATTTCTCCTAATAAGTCATAGAGTTATTATAATTAAATGGGATTTTACAAACTAATGTACCCTAAAAACTATTCTTTTTCCCTTGAATTATATATTTAGACAAATGAATGTATAATAATATTACATTTCAATGTGTGTTTAGAAGAAGACTCATAAATTATAACATTCTCGAATTGAAAGAAAATTTCTATGAAGTATTCCAAGCTTTGATTCAAATTTGTCATTGTAAATTGGTAGTTTTCCTATTTTATTTGAAAGAGAAAAAAAAATAATAATTATCGTTTTATGAGAGATTCTTAGATATAAATATTATAAAAAAAATATAAAGTAAAAACCGTTCCATTTTTGTATTGGACAGACCCCTCTTGAATAACTTGGCTAAAATTTTTTCCATCCTCTAATATTCGCACTCTAATGATGAAACTATCTATTTTAAAGTTCGACGATTTGGGAGCTGAGAATTTTAACGTTACATTAAATTTGCCATTTCTATTATTTCCTACAAATTCAATATTTCTAAAACCATGCATTGAATATTTTTCCATTTTACAGCACGTACTACTAGGTTTGAATGCTATGTTTTTTTAAAGTAGACTATGTGTAAATTTGTTTTAAAATCAAAGGGTATAATATTTGGTAGTATTAATGGCTCGTTTTGACACGGTTTTTATAAAACGGCTAACTCAATACATAAGTGGCTTAGGCATCCATTTAAAAAATTAGGTCTATTGAGTTGGTTTTTTAAAAATCGGCTCAAATAGAGCAATATAATAACACTAATAAGGTATTTTAATCGCTATAATAAATATATAAAATAAATCTTATTTACAGTAATTATCAACATAAATTAGACTCATAAAATAAAATGTCAATTATTATTTAATATTTAATTTACTCATGATCTTTGGATTGGTCTCTAAATAAAATATTTTAAAATAAATAAAATAATCATCTTTCAATAATGACCAAAGAGGACTGAGAGTTTATTATGCTGCTTTGTATCTCAAATATATAATTAATTACAAATATTATCTTTCAAATAGGGGGCGATTCTTTTATTGCATTAAATAACATATTTAAAATATTTATTAAGTTTTATTCTATACAAGCCTTTAGCAAGCCACGTTTGTTAAGATTACAGCATTCTAAATAAATTTTAAGATTGTATATGAATTTACGAGCCTTTGCTTTGATGCAACACACAAATATAGGTCTTTTTATTTTTTATCATATCTCTGTCTAATATAATTTTATAAATTTGGTTTACGGTAAAGATAGAATATATACATCTATATATTCGTTAAAATTATAAATCTTAATATAAATTAATTTCGCCTTGAGATATAAATTTATATATTTAATCATATCATTACTATATATTTAAAATTTTTTATATATAATAAAAAAAATTCATATTTTTAACATCAGTTAATATTGTTTTAAATATATTACGATATCCAAATTTGTAAAATTTAAGAATTTTCCAACATAAGCTTGATAGATCACATATCAGTATTTTATTTTATTTTTCAAATTTTTATTTTACTGTTGTCGAATCATTTATGTATTTTATAAAATTTTAAAAACAAAATTTCTATTTATTCTCTATGCCACTTCACTACTAATTAAGAATAGATTATGATTAGTTTTTTTTTAAAAAAAAATTTAAAAAATATTCAATTTTAAGCTAATTATTTTATCAAAATTAAATCTTTTTAAAATTAAAATTTATTATTCTCTTTTGGCTTGAATATTTATACTATTCTTTATTTATTCAATGATTAGGTTATTTTTAGGTATTAGGGTTATCGAATCGAAAAACATAAACATATTTTTAATAGTTTATAAAATTTTAATAAAATTTTTAGTTTCGAAAAATTTTTTTTGCTGTAATAAATTATAATTTTTTTTGATTGTGTTTTAAATTTTAAAATTCTGGGTGACTTTCAAGTTGAGTATGAACCAAAAGCAAAATAAATTGAGCAAGACCAAAAATGGAAAGTAAAAGTAAAATAATAGGAGAAATTATTAATCTAATCAAAAATTTTAAAAGGGGTGGGGGTAATCCTTAACTAATTTAAGCAGATCTAGCACTACACTGCCTACTAAACAAAATTATTTAATCTGTATTAAATATGAGTTCGAATATAATAAAAATATAAGATGGCGATCTAGCTAAACCTCAACATATTTATCCATTGAGAATGAATTCAGATATTTAAAGAAAATATAAATCTTGTTTATCTTATATATAATAATAATAATATTGTAGTTGTTATAAAATATTTAGATTTTTTAAATATTTACTTGGAGTAGTTGTACCTATTTTTTTATTAAATATAAAATACGATTAATATAATTTATAACAAGAATAAAAGATTAAGAATTATTTGATAATTATATAAGAAATTTCATATAGCCACTAGAGGTAAAATTATAGTAATCCGATAGAGACAGATTTTAATTAAAATATTTTATTGTATCTAAGATAAGTTCTAGTAGTTTCTTTTCCAAATTGAAATATTAATAAACTAATTTTATATAAATATAAAAATATAATTATGATTAGTGTTGTACAAAAACCTCATAAAAATATTTAGGAAGATTTAAGCCTAAAACAATATTATCTAAGAGTCTCACAATTTGGTACATAGATTGTAGAAAGGTTTGCCTTCTTACAACGGACCATATAATTACGATAAAAAGTTATATCATAGTTTTATGTACATACATATCGTCTTATTAATAATTATTTATATATGTTCACAAGTTTTTTTAACTTTTAGTAGCTCGGCTAAGATTTTAATTTTTTTCAAAAAAAAAATCATTCTGTTTTATATGGTCTAACCATTAAAATTTTTGGTAAATAAAGAAAGAAAGAAAGAAAGAAAGAAAGAAAGAAAGAAAGAAAGAAAGAAAGAAAGAAAGAAAGAAAGAAAGAAAGAAGGAAGGAAGGAAGGAAGGAAGGAAGGAAGGAAGGAAGGAAGGAAGGAAGGAAGGAAGGAAGGAAGGAAGGAAGGAAGGAAGGAAGGAAGGAAGGAAGGAAGGAAGGAAGGAAGGAAGGAAGGAAGGAAGGAAGGAAGGAAGGAAGGAAGGAAGGAAGGAAGGAAGGAAGGAAGGAAGAAAGTTTGAGAAAAATAGAATGAAGGAAGAAATGAACTTGCTTTTTTAAAAACATCATAAAAATAACACAATTTAAAAAAAAATACAAATATAACAATGAAAAACCGTATACTAAACAAAAAAAGGCTAAAATAAGATGTCATAGTTCAAAAGCTGTTAGGTATTGAAAAATATTATTAATTAAAATATAAGAATTTAGAAATTAATGATGTTAATAAGAAAAATAATATATTTTTACTTACCATCAAATTGGCATAGAGTCAGAATCAATAAGGAAAAAGTCAATAGCAGTTTATTCATTTTTTTAATAAGCCAAAATTTTTTTAATACCAAATTGTATAATTTTTAATTAATAGTTTAGTAATGAATAACACTTTTAACTTATTTATAATTATATTTTTTTAATCTTTAAAAAATTAATAAAATTTATTTTTTAAATAAAATGTTTTGATGACTCGATTATATATTTTTTTAATTATTATTATTGCTTTAAACTTTTATTTATTTAAAGAGAAAGATAAAAAATTTTTTTTATTTGATTTCCAAGAAATTTGTTAACGTAAATGAGGAAAAAAATATGAATATTTACATAAGGAGAGAAAATTCTGGAAAATAAATTTATCTAAAGTTGGCTCTATTTTGATTGGATTAAATTTTGTACATTTTGTATAATTTTTAAGAAAATGATAAAAAAAAAATTATTAAATCTCTCTTGGACTTAATTAGAAAAATTGATTTTTGAATAACAAAACCCTGGAAAAATTTTACACTTGTTAAAAACATTATGTATATAATTTATTTCTATTTTAAATAAATTTAACTTTTGAACATGGCAAATATGATCTAATAATTTATTTTCCGACTAATGTATATTGTCGTATGAAGAATAGGAATCCATGGGGATATTCGGAACCTCTTGATTTTAAATCCTTTACCGAGGGCCATTTAAAAAATTTTTAAAATTCGATTTAAACGAAATGTATTCTAGAATGTATCGAGTATTTACACTATAAATTTCAGCCAATTTCAGTCATAGATATTTAGGTACTTTTTTAAAATTTATATGAAAAATCCATACAAAAATTAATAGAAATTAGAAGTAGTTTTATAGTTCATGACTCTGATTTATAGGGTAAATATTGTACACATGCTAGAATATATTTTCGGAAGGCCAAACTCTTGCTATCGCCATCTAACTCTCTAAGCTTCATTTCTTCCATTGAATAACCTTCCATTTTACAAGCTTCCTTTTTTTATCCCCTCTGCTTTCCCTTAAATTCTTTTTCTACCCTTTATTTATTTTACCTTTTTAAAAAATTAGTTATTTGCTAATACATTTTGACATCATATCATAACAGTAAATATTCAAATAAAGTAACCCATGACCGAATCGGATTTCAAAATTTTTTAAATAGCCCTTGGTAAGTGATTTAAAAATCCAAAGATTCCAAATCCCCATACGATATATATATGATTTAAAATTTCTCAGGTCGAAGTTTAATTCATATTTATTTTATGACCTAATTTTTAAAAATGCTATTTTAGGACTCTATCCTAGACTGTTAATATTATACTTAGTTTTTAGAAAATTATCTTATTCAAAACTTTCCTCAATAATTACAGGTTTAACATATATAAATATAAATTAATTTTATTACTAATGTTTTTTAATGATGGTTGTTATTATTTAAAATCACAATTGATGGATCTCAAAATTTGTACTTGTATTAATTATTAATTTATTTTTATTTCCAATATTTTAGAAAATAAATGTTTTGATTTTAATCTCTATTTTATTATCCAGATATTTTAAGCATTTAGGAAGGATCAAATAAAAATTAATTTTTATTATATTGAATAATGTTTAGTATTAATAATAATAATAATATATTCGGTCTATTTATAAATAATTTTATAAAACAAAATCCTCAGGTAGAAAAGTTGCTATTATTGGAAAAAAGATTACTTATTAATAAATAAAAAATTATATGGATAATAACAAGCTCTGTACGATTTAAGATTCTAATTCTATATGCTACTACGTTAAAGTGAAAAATAGATAACAAATTTTTTTAAACAATTTTATATTAATATTGATAAAACTAATTTATAATTTTATCATAAAATTGCACAATAGAGTAGTGTCTGTCTAATGAAAATTATTTTTCTTCTATTTTTAGACCTAACTTCTATTTTATTTAAAAAAAACTAATTATTTTTTTTTGAATAAGTCATTTTAATGTTATACCTGATTTGGATTTTTAATATATATTATTATGTCTCTGTTTGATTTAGATTTTAAAATATATTTTTTATTTCAGACAATTTTTGCATCCGTTTGGTTTTGGAAAAGGGTTGATAACATGAAACATCGGTATGATTATTGATATAATTTTAAATTTAATAAGTCTGATCGGGTTTATAAACTATTTTTAAAGTTCATTACTGATTTCTTTATAATAATATTACTATTAAAAGACCCAAGCCAGACAAAATATATCCGCTGTTTCTAAGTAAGGTTCAGGCTGGCCTGCTAGTCTGATAATTATAAACAGAAATGAATGCAGGTAATTTAAATTTTAAATATTTAAATAAAGTTTATATAATTTTAAAAGAATAATAAAAATATGCTATAAATTATTTATGACATAAAAAAAATATTTATTTACCATTGATTTGGAATATGATCAAAACCATTATGGAGAGAATCAATAGGAGTTTTATCATTTTTAGAGATTGAATTTTAAATAATTTTTTTTACCCCAATAAATATAATTAGTAAATAATTCAATTGATTCTTATAATAATTTTTTCTTCAAAATATCAAAAAATATTAAAATATTTTTGATGACTAATATTATTAATTTTATAATATTATTGCCTTTAACTCCAATTTATCTATAAAAAAAAATTTTTCATCAAATTTTTTGCTTGAGTTTCTAAGAAAATTATTAATAATAAATGGAAATAAAAAAAAAATATTTACATAAAAAAGAAAAATTTCGCAAATAAATTTTTTACCTAGAAATAATTTTTATAAACATTTTTATTTGGTACGTCATTTTAATAGAAGTAAATTTTAATTATTTTTTTTCCCCGGTTTCAATTTATCTCTTTTATTTAATTTTTTGAAAAATATATCGTTTCACCTCAGATATGGGGTGGGTCCCTATAAAGCTGCTCATTAGATAAACGGAACGATTGCGAAACCATTTGATAACAGATAAATCGAATTCATTGATCACCGTTTTTTTTCAACACAACTACCTCCCTTTTTTTATCTCTTGATCTGTCGGCAAAACGCAATTTTGAGGCGATTTACCCTAATCGTTGATACACATTGTCTTATCCTTTGCGCTAATATAACTAGTAAGTTTAAGCTAAAAAACCAATTGTCAAAGCATAAATTATAATTTTGATGCAACCCAAGTGCACAACCATGCGCAGAACTGAATTCCCACAAGTCCATATATCTGACATACCTACGGCTTGGAATTCTTCCCCATATATATTTCATAGTTATAAATAATACCATCATTTCCACATAATAAAAATTTTTTAAACCCTTATATTGTTTTATCTTAATTTGCCCCTTAAAATGAACAAATTGCTCAGACGCATAGATTTTCTCTTAAGTGTAATTTCTTTTAAAATATCTTAAGTGGTATTTTATGAAGAACATCATACCCTCCCAAAAGGATATGCTTTCGTGTTGTCTTTTAGGTAAAAACATGATTTTATGAACTCCCATCTTTTTAAATGACATAATATTAGCTACATTCGCGATTCTAGTATTAGCCGTCCAATATAAACGAGGTCTTGGCAGATTTATAATGCTCATGTAGAACAAAATTCCTATGAATTTTTCTAATTCATCTAACGATAAATTAAGGGGTCTGCTTTTATATTTTAATAATCCCAATTTGTTCTCATATCATGATTGAACATGAGTTTTCTTGGTGAAATGCCAGTCGTAATGTTTGGCATGTTTCTATATTTGAACAAAAATTTCTCCAAAGCGATATCTATGTCCATGTTATTTTGTTCCATGCACTTCTTCATATGTGATTTAAAGGTTCTTACCATCCTTTCAACTTGCCCGTTTGACTGTTGATGGTGAGCTGAAGTCTGAAAGTGATGTCTCTACAAAATATTTTGAATAGTTGACTTGTAAAGTTTGAGCCGTTATCAGATACTATTTGTTCTGGAATACCAAATAAGCTAATTGTTTTCATCAATTCTTTTTTGTAAATTCCTAGATTATTGATTTCACCGGAGTGATTATAGGAAACATACTGTACGCATCTACTATAAGCAACCAGTACTTGTTAAAAAATGGCCCAGCGTAGTCAATGTGTATTCTTTCGAATGGTTTCGTTAATGGGATTATCGGCCCAAATGTTACATGATTTACATTCTTTTACTTCGTTATCAATATCATTATTAATTCCAGGCCACCAAAGGTAATCCTTAGCTAAATATATGGTTTTGCCAGCACCCAAGTGTCCTTCGTGTAAATGTTGTAGTATTGATTTTCTTAAAACTTTAGGTATGATGATTTTATTTTCTTTAAATAGACAATTTCCCATAATACATAATTCAATCACCATATTGTTATATGTTTTATTTTTTATCGTGTCACCGTTTCTAATGTCGTTCATTATTTTCATTAATTCTCTGTCGTTAGAAGTTTCTTTTTCATTCATTTTAAAGTTAATTGGTACGTCCCATAAATCATTATTTTCTTTCATATCATCCATAATGTATATTTTCTGAAGATGTTAATGGCAATCTGGACAAACAATCTGGCACCGTGTTGTGTTTACCCGCTCTATGTAGTATTTCGAAAACGTAAGCTCCCATTGCAATATTCCACTTCTGCAACCTCATCGACATTGAATTTTCTATTAAACCTTTGGAAAATATATAAATCAACGGCTTGTGACCGGTGATGAGATTTAGTTCCGATAAGATATTCTTGAAATCTTTTCATCGCAAAAATAATCGTCAATGCTTCGCGTTCAATGTTAATGTAATTTCTTTTGGATTTAAGTAAGTATCTTGAGGCAAAAGCTATCGGCTTTTCTTTGCCATCCCCTTCAAAATAGCTCCCAAACCGCGTTTAGATGCATCTGCAGCTATACCTATATATAAATCATGATTGAAAAAGTTTAATGTGGGAGGTTGACTGATTAAAGTTTTTAATTTTTTATAACATTCTTGATGTTCGGTATCCCAAGACCATTTATCTTTGTTAATTATTTTGTATAGTGGATCTGCCAGATCCGCAAAACTGTTTAAAAATTTACGGTAATAGCTCGCCATGCCTAAGAAAGTAGATAATTCTTCTGAATTTTTTGGATCCGGCATATCAATATTTGCTTTTATTTTATCATCGTTGGGATGTGTGCCATGTTTGTCTATATCATATCCCAAAAACCGTATTTTATCTTGCATGAACAAACTTTTGTCGAAATTGGGGGTTAATCCATACTTGATGATTTTTTCGAAAACTTTTTTAATATTCTCCAAATGTATCTCATCGTTATCACCTGTAATTAACAAGTCGTCAATATAGAATATAACATCTTTTAAATCTCCAAAAACCTGTTCCATAGTCTGTTGGAATATGGCTGAAGACGTTTTCAGTCCGAACGGAAGTCTCGTGAATCTAAAGTATCTTTTATGCGTAAATATAGTTAGCAAATCTCTTGAGTCTTTGTGAATAGGAATTTACAGGAAGGCTTGTTTGAAATCAATCTTACTAAATTTTTTTCCTCCAGCTAACTTGGCACAAATCGTTAATTCTAGGTATGGGGTATTTGAAATCTTCAAGCGCTGGGTTAACTATGTCTTTGAAGTCGGCGCACAATCTGAGACTACCATTGTTAAAAACTGGTGTGAAAGGACTCCCCATCTAACGTCTTTTACCGGCTCGATGATTTTGTTTTCCAGCCAGGTATTTAATTCTTTAGTTAAATATCTACTCTAGAATAAGATACCCTTCTCGGTGGTATAATTTTTGGCTTAGCATTTGACTTTAGTCGTAACCTGACTTGTGTTTTTATAACAGGTTTATTATTTAATTTAGACTTACATTACAATTGGACATTAATTCCGCCAAATCGTTTTTATGATCCGTGTCTATTAAGCTATAAATCTTTCAAGTATGTTTTTAAAATGTTTCAACCAAGATCTTCCTAATAAAGGCATCTTGTTACTGTTTACTATCAATGCATCTAAAATTTTAGAACTTCCTTCGTATTCTATTCAGTCGTGTTGAGCCTATCACTTGTATGGTATTGCCGTCGTAACCAGATAACTGAATATTGGACTTCGTAATGTTTTTTATGCCCACTTTCTCAATCATATATTTTGGTAGAATTGTGAATTTCGTGCCCGTATCCACTTGTAGTGAAGTCAAGATGTTATTAATTTTAATGTTCACCATGTATGCGTCATCTTTAACATTTTATACTTTGTTCTACGTTATTTATATCAATATTTAACAAATGATAATCTTTCTTATCGATTGATATAATTTTGTCGTCTTCGATCTAATATTAGTTGGTTTTCGATCATAAACTTTCTTACCTTGTCTTGTTCCCTCCAAATGTTTTAGATCGGATTGTGTATTTTCTTTGATAACAATCTTATGTATAGATGTTTCGATGTCTGTTTCGTCTAATTCTTTGCCTGCCTTTATAATGTCATCTAAAATGAGTAAATCTATAATTCTGCATTTAATTTCAGAGCTTGATTGATTTTTCTAAAACCTTGTCGTAGCCGATAAAGTTGCAGTCCATATTGAGTTGACAAATACGGGTAACCCAATCAAAAAAATTTTCTCTCTCTTTTTGAACCGCTGCATTGAATTCGCTAATTTTTTTGTTTCAAATCTTGGAAGGCTGTAATAATCTAAGTTTGTTGATGAGTATCAACAATTTTGAAAATAAGTCAGCTGGTAAATTATAAAGTAAGGTCGTGGCATTGTCCTCATATGTGCTGTTATTATTTTTAAAAGTAAGTTCAATTTTGGTTTAATATGTATCGATGTTTCTTATATATTTAGGAAATTCGTATTTATACGATATAGTATCATTAAAAACATTAATTTTTTTTATCTTTCTTCATATTTAATTAATTGGGAAAAAAAATTTTACTTGTTTTTTTTTATATAATTTAATATTTATATTAAGAAATATGAAATTATATTTTAATAAAATTTTAATTTACAAAGAAATTTACAAAGATAGCTACTGCCACCATGTTAAGCTAGGCAAAAAAAATTAGAGGAAAAGCAAATTATATTTTAATTTATAATTTATTCTAAAAATATTTATTAACTGTCTAGTACAATAATTTTATAGGTTTATATAGTTTACAAAATTTATCAATTAATTTATGTCGAATTATTGAGTTAATTTTATAAAACGAGTCCGCGAGGTTAAAGTTAATATAATATAAAGAATAAAAAAAAATCAATCTTTTATTTAATAGATCGCGATTAGTTAATAGATATGGATCAATTTGGACATCACAACAGAAATATAAAAGTATTAAGAAGAGCTTCTAGTTAGAATATACAAAACACTAGCACATTAAATTGCACATACAAAAAATTAGTTTAGGCTAGATTTATATTAAAAAATTTCTCATGGAAACATAAAAATCTCAGATAAGAGTTTTTTTTTTCTAATGTAATATATCATCCTTGTTATTTGATAGCTTGCTTAAACCATTAAATATTTTTACATCTTCCTTAATAAATATTTTAAGACAT